ACCCACTGCCCCCTTTTTTTCACTCACTGGTTCTCACAGCCTGTAAAGTCTTAGAAAGTCCCAGATGTTTGAAGGAGGCTGTTCCACACATCTTAGATTTTAAAGTAGGAGCAAGATTTATTATAGCCATATAAGTGTAATTTCAGTCTTAATATTGGTGCTCACGAACTAGGTGTCATCTGCAATGTGGCCCCTTGTCAACTAGAACAATTCATATCTGAGGAGGGTTGGCATAAGTGTCAAACACTCAAAATAACCACAGGATATTATTGAAACAATGAACTCTGCTCACAAACTCTTTCCCTCTAGGAAATTTTAATTTACGTAAACATTTTTCAAAAAAACCCTTTTGCATTCAGGCAACATTAAAAAATTAGACTGGAATAAGTTGTGTATGAATAGACAGTAGTAACTCCTGGGGTAAGTGCCTAAGCAGAGACAGCCAATGCCTCAAATTACATTTTCTCCTACTACAGTTTCTAACAGTGAGAACAGGCTAAAAACCTGTTCCCTCGGGTCCTGCCTAGCTGAAGGGTGCAGCACAGCATGCCCATTCTTTTAGGGCAGCGAGTTGAAGTGCAAGTGGAAGCCGGTCTGTGTTTTGTATTGGGGAGTCCTGCATGCTCCTAGAAAGCAGCTGAAAGTTTCCAGCTGAGGTGGACTGAGGCTTTTCAAGTACTCCAAGATGGGTCTAGAAGCATCTTCCTCATTGTCAGCAACTTTTTTTGTTTTGTTTTGAAGCCTCTTTAGGTAAAAAGTGAAGAGTTCCTCCTTTTTCCTGCAATAGTTAATTAATAAGACTTTTTTGAGTATTATCTGTGCGCAGGGCGTGGAGTTAAATTTCCTAAAGGAGGACTGTGAAAATGCACCCCACATAGATTCCTGATTTTTTTTTTCTAGGATTAAAGAACCTTACAGAATCTCCGAAGTGAATGGAATACCCCTGAGGTTTTTCCTTGAGCACTTACAGCATTTTATTCTATCAGTGAATTGTCTTTCTTTTGACATGATCCAGACACCAGCTGAATTCTTAACAGTTACAAATCACTTGCATTTAATTGGTGGCATTGTAAAGATCATGGGAATGTGCCATCAACTCGATTCTTGTTTTTATTGACAGCTGATTGCATGGTGCTGTTAACATTTTAGATGAGAACATAAAAAACAAAATAAAGTAAAATAAACTATAAAATGCATAAACCGGGACATTAATGCAGCAGCTAGAGATGACTCATGTAACTGACAGCAACAAGAGAATAAGGTTTGATGAAAAGATTCTAGAAGCCCAAGAGTGATGAGCTACAGGTGCTAACTAAAGAGAGGGTGATTATATATCTGGGGGTGCCCAAAAAATGTATACACATGACTTGTATTCATCTTTTGTTATCAGTATATATTGAGTATTACAATTTTAATACAGTTTTTTTCCTTTCTTAAAATCTGTATACATTTTTTGGCACCCTCTGTATAATTTTTGTTGGATTACTGAGTTCCTTACTGATCTTTGATACTGCATTCATGAACATTGTAACACTGCCATCCTGGATGTATATGTGTAAAAAATGGACTTAGCATATTTGACTAACTAATGTGATAAATTTGTGAACTAACACTTTACATTGGGACACATATTAGCAAGAACATATTTTACTCCATAATCTATGTTGGTGATCAATTCTCAGTGCCATGGCAAAACCCAAAGAATTATGATTGGAAGGATCTTCTCAGAGATCTCTAACATTAATAAAAACATGAGATAGAGGAACAATGGGTATGAAATATATTGTAGGACTAACCACCGGGTTTCCTTTTCATTAAAATACTTCCAACACTTACTGTGCTCAACTTCTATTTTTTAATCACATTATTTTCCAGACTTTTAATTTCACATCAAATTGGCACCTAAGAAACTCAACTGATTGAAAGTATAAGGATTTGTTTTACATCAAAATAGCCAACCAGCACTGAGAGAAAAAAAAGCCAATTAAGAAGTTATTGTTGTTCATAGAAGTTTAAAAGCCCGTATTCTCATTTTTAATTATGTCCTGCTCTTAGTATCAAAATCCACATGTCTACTTTCATCAATAAGTTATAGGCTGACCAAAGATAATTTAACTCTGCTCTGAATTAGAGCAGTTTCAACTAAAAAGTGAGAATAGTCTTTATGCCTCAAAAGTGATGCTATGAGGTTTAATCTGTTTTTTAAAATATGCAAATGTTTTTAGATTTCTTGATGAGAGTACACTTTTATTAGCATTATTTGGGTAAAATGTATTTTCCAAAATTAATCTAAATGTGTATTTTAGAAGATCGAGTTTATTCTGATTACTTTTTAAATTCATGTCCCCCTCCAAAATTTTAGCAAAAAATATTGGTTTGGAGTTAGAAGTATCCCTTAATGCTTAACTTTTTTAAACCCCCCTCATTTTGCAAATGAAATAACCCAAGAGCATACAAACAGATTTTGTCCTCCCACCGAAAGGAGACAGAATCATATTTCAATTTATTTTATCTGAAATGATTTCTGAAATTTTGTTACATTTGAATCTACCCACTTGAAATTTTTTCTTTAAAACTTCAAAACCATTTTTATTTGGGCTTCCTAAGCATGATAATATGTTAGCCCGTGGGTTTTATTGCCAAAGCTATAATCTAGAAGCACATTGTCACACAGTGGGCTTAGGTTTCTCTATATTCCAACACATCTTAGATCTTTTTCCTATCCTACTCAAACTTTAGATGTCAGAAGACTACTCATGCACCCTGATTTTAAAGGTTTGCATAAATGATGAAGGCCCTCTGAGACTGATGATTACAACTGTTATTTGCACCACTCTGCTTGTCACTATGCAATTGCAGTAAATGCAATTGCAAGTACTTTTATTTGAAGGCCATTTGACAGAGGGTGGAGAAAATTCATTTACTCTTTCAAGGCCTGTGTATTTTTCTGGGAGAAGCTTGTCCTTTTATCCTTGGATAGCTATTTGGGAAATATCTTTTTGCAGTGTAACCCCCTGAGTGATTTCTGCAACTTAAGGCCTGAGCTATGATTCACAGACCTTCCCTGAATCTTCCTCACCCCCTTTCCTCCCACATTCTAAAGACTGGCAGACTGATTCATGCTTGCACCCTTGAAGCATTCTTTTCCACAGAATGAGGAAGAAAATTTGCATATTTTAGCAAAAACACTGAGCTAGTTACATCATAGATATTTAAGGAAGGAGTTGTTTACTAATATTGAAATAGCACACAAATCACATTGAGCAGCTTAAAACTGGTTCTGCTCTCTTAAGGCAGATAGGCGAATTAATACAATCCTTGAGTGATTTTATAGAGACAGTGCTGCGCATGTGCCCCACCCCAGTCCTCCATCGGCACCCAGGACCAAAGTCTCGCCCCTCCCTACGGAACCAAAGGATCAGACAGGAGCGGAACATGAATACCTACCTTTTCAGAAACCGAAGGTCTGTTGTCCAGGAAGATCTGGTGCTGTAGCCCCTCACCATAAATGGCCAAGTTCCAAGGTCCGCCGATTAAAACTTACCCCACTAGCGCTTCCGCGTATCTGTTCTGATAACTCCTTAAAACCTTCCCATTATAAGCCAATGGGTAGTTTGGATTTTAAGTGTCACAAGCTTCCCCTTCTTCTTGCCTAGCACTATGCAAATAAAACAATTCTAATTTTTCTACTTTGCTGTATGTGTGGTGGGGACAAACTCTCTTCCTGTTGGGTTACAATATCAATGTGTCCGTGATTCTGTTGAGGCAATACAAATCAAAAAAGACAGTACTGTGGATTTCTTTTTCAAGAATCTTTTCTAACTTGCACCTTCTCACAGGAACTCACAGAAATTCAACACACACTACTTTTAAGTTCGTCAGAGAGATCAGCTAACTCCATACAGCTGGCTTGTCAACCTTCAACAAGACTGTCCTTCACAATACTGAAGGAAGTCTTATGTTTCAGACTAAAACAAGAAGTGCAAATAACGTTTATAATTTGCTAGACGCTTGTGTGTGTGTGTGCGTGTGTGTGTGTGTGTGTGTGTGTGTGTATGTGTGTGTTTTAATCGCCTTATTTTCTACAAGTCATCACAATTTTAAACCTGCCATCAGACATCATGAACACTTGCTGTTCCCAAATGCCTGCTCCTGGATCAGTGTAAATGCTCCTTACCTATAAACAAATTCCACTCTGTGTCGAGATCAGCCTGATTTGCCAGACAGCCCTTCATAACGTTGAGGCAGTAGTTATTGCAAGGTCTCACGGAGGGTAGTCCTCGACAGTATGGGCAGTACAGCATCTTCATGAGAGCACGGATGCACCCTGGGGTTGGGCTGACCTGTCGATTTATTAAAGAAAGAAAGAAAGACAATCAGAAATAAGAAGGATGGAAGAGAGACAAAAGATGTAACTCATTTTCTCCTTAAAGAAAAAAAGAGGTGAAATGGTTCTGATAAACCTCCAGCAGTAGAGCAGAAGGTTAAAGGAAACATCAACATCTCAACCCCTTGTAATACTGGATCTTGAAGCCAGTCATTTCTTGTTAAATACTTCTCTTTGGCATAGCAATAATCAATTTTCTTGAAATGTCAAACATTTTGATATCTATATCACTGTAATTCAGCCCTTAAACTTAGATACTCTTTCATTGCAATAGAACGTGAAATGAGATAATGCACGTGAAAGCAATTTGCAAAGTTAAAAGCCCCATGAAAATGTAGGTATTATTAAAGTTTAATGTGACACCTTTAGAAAAATTTCCAACTGGTTATTTGACCTTGCTTCTAAAGGAAGTTGGCAGATATACTTCCTTTGTACATAACTTTTTAAAAAGGATCAATATCAACTTGTCTGGGATTTCTGAGATCCAGGCCTGCTCAGAAGCAATGCAACTGCTAAGGGACTGTCTCCAGGTATCTGAAGCTATACAGTTCTGGAACTCCATGGAAAATGGACCCAGCGTTGAAAGTGAGGAGCAATCCTTGCGGTAATTCAGAAGAGCTGATAATCAACTGACAATGAAGTGCTATTTGCCTTACATATGGAAAGAAGCCTGCTCCTTCCAAAGTTAATCTATTCTAAACCAATACCACCTTTGTTAGGCTTATTGAAAATTCTAATTTGACTTCAAGCGCAAGAAATATTCAAAACAATATGCAACAACCGCAGCAATAAAAATATAGAGAGCTCTTTTTCATGACTAGACACAAACATTATTGTCATATTTATTAGGTTGGTGCCATATAAGTTTTGTATATTAGTTAAGTAACTATATGCTGCCATTCTTGTGTTCTAGATCTGGGGACAAGCTTCTAAGTTGTATCATCTTTACCTCTTGGAGTGCTATAGTCTCATCAGATAGGCCTGGATCCACAGGTGCCATTTCCATGTCCAGAACATGCCGATACTGACAGAGTATAACACCAATATAAAGGTGGGTCAATAAAGGTTGTTTCCACATAAACAGACACCTGCAGCTACGGTTGATCTCTGTCACTTTTATCCTTTACCTAGAAACTACATTTGAAGTTTTTGATGCAAGTCTTTAATTTTTGTAACATTTTCTTAACTTTATGTTTTATACTGACAATATCCCTAATATAATATTTTAGGAAATAAAGCTGTCTATTTATTTGTTTAGGCACTGAAATTTATAGCTGTCCTTCTGGTTGTTGGCTTTTCTTTTTCCCAGAATTTTACAAAAACTTTCAAACATACAGAAAAGTTCAAAGATTTTCATAGTGAACACCCATTTTCCCACTCCTAGATTCTACATTTAACATTTTCCTACGCTTGCTTTTTCACACATCCATCCATCCATCCTCCAATCCACCCATTAATCCACCTTTATTTTTCATGCATTTCATTGTTAATATTCTTTTTATTTTTACTTTTTCTGGTAATTTAATGTTGGCTTTAATAAAATAGAATTAACATGATCAACAACAGAAAGTTAGGTCATTAAGTACTCCAAATCAAATATGTAAGGTGACGTATAATTGGCCTTTCTTTATAAAGATATTCAGAGAATGCTTTTGTATCCATTAATTATAAAACTTATTTTCCAGCAAGAAAACAAAAAGGGAATACAAAAGTGAGGAGTCTAGTGACTTCTCTTTTGAGCACACATTAGTGCCACCACATCATTTTCTCCAGATGAGCTGTTTTGCAGGAAATGACAAATTTTATCCACAATTGAGCAGTATCGTTTTAAAATTTTATTTTATCCACATATACATGTAGCCCAAGCCATTCACAGAAAATACAGAAAAATATTCTGTATTCTCCAAACAGAATCAATGTCCAATTTCAAATTCTTATACATTTTACTTATTTGGCATGGTTGCAGTTCTACAAACCTTTGTCCATAGTATTTTGTTTTCCATAGCCTTGCAATTTCTCTCCTGACCCTGATGTATTTCTCCAGAGACCCACCCAATGTTCACCCAAACTAACTAAGCAATTTCTTCCTTTTTCTCTCTAAGTGTGTTGGTATAAAATCTGGAACATTTGTAAATATTGGGGATGCACATTTGAGATCTTTTGGACATTGTGGACTCTTTTTTATCACTATAAGCTACACCACTCTGAAAAACAGGCCCATCATTATAAGGGGCTGTGATTATGATTTAGGTACTCAATAAGTGCTTTTTGAATTGAACTCTCTATTGTGTTTCCCAATTTCTTGGCCATATTGATATTCAAAGAAGAAAAGAACATAATAGTTTCATACATCTAGCATTCAACTGTTGCTTCTTAACTTTGTTTTCTAAGGTTATTGATTGCATTAGTTCCAAAGCTTTGCTTTAATTTTTTTTTTTATTGTGTTGGAACCAGTACAATTTTCTCAGTATGACATTTAAGAAGAGTCCCCAATCAGTGTAGCCACCAACAGAGAAAATTGAACAGCCTTAATAACCTAAAAGAACAATGTTGTTCAAGTTAAATGTGGCTGTCTTAGTACTTTTGGAAATGACATCCTTCCTGATCAAATAAAGGGCATTTGAAGAAGAAAATGGAAAGTGGAGGATCAAAGTTGAAGCTTTCATGTTCACAGACCATATTTTTTGAATTGACACAACTGCATGCCTGAATTGAAAAAAAAAATCATCACTTTAAACTGAAGGCTTTTTTTGAAGTAAGCCTCTGAAAAGAAGGTTGTTTTAAATGCCAATTGTGTGAAGGGGTATTTCTCTTTTTAAATGTTTAATAGTGTTTTAGAATCATGTGATACCTACTTTATTTATTTATTTATTTATTTATTTATTTATTTATTTATTCTTTTTTTAAGATTTTTTATTTGGGACTCGGGGAAGGGGAACAGACAAGCTGCTGTCCTTTTGTTCATCAGTCTAGTTGTGGAGGACGTCGCTTCACTGGCCCATGTTGTATTATTGTTGCGCTCTTCCCAGCTGAGGCAGATCAGTCTCCGGCCATTGGACCGCCGCTCAAGGCAGCTCTTGGCAGCTCTCGCTGGCTGCCAGCCGCTCACGTTGGCTGCCCGCCACTCACTGTAGATTATGACAGCCCACCGCAGCAGGGGCTGCAGCCTTCTCCATCGCTGGTGACTCAGGGCAGCCCGGCTCCAGGTCGAGCTGTTGTTCACCATCTTAGCTGTAGAGGGCACAGCATCACTGGCCCACATGTGGGATCTTAACCAGGGCCCTGCTGCTCAGAGCTGGCGTCCCAAGCCAGCTCTTAACCAACGCGCCACTGGGCCGGCCCGTGATAACTACTTTAAAAAATCTTATTTCAAAATCAATACAGACTCACAAAAGTTGCTAAACAGTAGAGTCCTGGGTGCCCTTTAGTCATCATCCCCCCATGGGAATGTCTCATATAGCTGTAGTACAATATCACAATGAGGAAACTGATGTTGGTACATTCCTGTTAACCAGTTTATAGACCTTATTCCATTTTCATGATTTTTGTCTTCCCGTTCTCCTTGGTGAATGCGTATGTATACTTCTGTGCAATTTTATCTCATGGATATGTCTGTGTAATGCCACCACAATCAACATACAGAACTTTTCCATCTCCAGAAAAGGACCCTCTTGTGTTCCATCTTCACCCCAGCCCCCATCCCTGTCACATCTATTGCCACTGGTCTCTTTTCATTTCTATAATTTTATTATTTCAAGAATGCTATTTAAATGGAATCATATAATATGTAACCTTTTGAGCTTCACTTTTTTTTTAATTGGGCGTGATGTCCTAATGTCTATCTAAGTTGTTACATGTATTAATGGTTCATTCCTTTTTTAATGCTGAGTAGTATTCCAATGTTTGGCTATAACAGAATTTGTTCAACTATTCACTCACTGAAGGATGTCTGGGTTGTTCCCAGTACTTTACTACTAGAAATCAAGCTTCTATGAGCATTCATGTACAGGTTTGTGCATGAACATAAGTCTTTATTTATCTGTGACAAATGCTCAGGAGTACATTTGATAAGTCAAAAGTTTGGTGCATTTCGTTTTCTAAGAACTTGCTGAACTATTCCAGATGGGTTGTAGTACTTTACATTTCCATCAGCAATGTGTGATAGATGCAGCTTTCCTCATATCCTTGCCAGTATTTGGTCATATCACTGTTTTTTATTTTAGTCATTTTAATAAGTATATTATAATATCTACTTTTAAATTTATACTGAGTTTTATGTGAATGATATCTATACCTGTAGTCTAGCCTCAATGGTTTCCTAAAAGCATCAGATTCAAGTTCATTAACCAACTAATCTCTGGAAAATATGCAACATTAAAAAAATAATTTTGAAATAGTAGATAATTCTATACATTTGGCAAATCCAAAATAAGCAAAGGAGTTTTAAAATGTCACATTTAAAACTTAGAATAAAATAATTCTCAAATACATAGTACCACAAATGTATACATTTTTGTGGAATATTAGGGAAAAAAATTCCTACTGTTCATTTAACAACAATAAAGAATACAATCCACCTTGAAAAACAAAATGTTGAGTTTTTTTTAAGTTGGTGATATGGATTTTTGATTATTTACACAAAAAGGCTGTAGCTTCCTAGATATTCAAAGTATACTGGGAAATAAGTAAAAGAGTAAGTTGAGATGTTTATAAAAGTGATATCCACTTGGCATGAATAAAACAGTGTTTTGTAAGTGAAAAATGAGTAAGTTGAAATTGACATTCTTTTTTTGTACTTGTTTGTGCTCTCACCTAACTTTTACATGTTGTCCTTCACCAGTAGTAATCCTTTGCCAAGAATTCACAGCATTATGGGGAGAAAAGAAAATAATCAATGGTTGCTATTCCATTATCCTACTTTGGAAAAACAGATACAAGTTTGTGAGTTAATCAAGT